CAGAGGCACTGACGTCCGTGGGTGGGAAACAGGGCTTTTTACTATCGGTGAGGAAAGGGACCATGGCATGGTCGGACTGGCCTCTGTCAACCTTGTGCAAGACACTTCCCAGTTGCTGGTAAGGAGTCCCATCCTGTCTCAGCCTGCCCCTCCCTGAAGAATGGATTCTGTCCCACTGTCCCTCCTCCCCCAAGGTCTTTGCTTCTTCTAACTCCCAACGGCCTCCTCCCCAGGCATCTGCTTTAGACCAGAAATCTCATGGTGCCCCAGCCCTGCCTAAAATCCGTCAATGGTTCCTTATTACTGACAGAAAGAAGACCCAGCTCCTGGAGGGGTCTAAAACGTTATCATGAGCTTACCTCCCCCCCCCCAATCTCTCAATGCTTCCCTAAACAATATCTATTTCTGTTCTCTGGGCATGTCACCTTATTTCATACCTCGGTGCCTTTGCTCAAGATGGCCCTTCTGTCTGGAACACTGCCTCCTCCTGAGCCTGACAAACTCCCACAAGCCTCAGAATTAAAGTCACCTTCTCTAGGAAGTCCTCCTAGATCTCACCTCCCACAAGTTTGGTTGGAGTACTCCTGTGTTCCCATGTCCCCGGTATTTGATCACTTCATGTGGTTCTTATCTGGTAATAAGTCTGGTTCTCCCACTAGAAAGAGCTTTGGAGGGCGCAGCCTCTTATTTTTGAACGGAGGCCCAGTCAAGCAGTGAGACTCCTAAGGAGCAGGGCCCCACGGGTGGAGGGTGGGGGAAGCACGGTGTGTGCCTAGGTCTCAGAGGCAACCCCTGAAACGTGGGGAGTGGGATTGGGCAGAAATGCAGGGGTCATGGGGATGGAGAGAACTGGCCATGACTCAGAGGAGCATTGGCCTTGGTTGTAGAGTGGACCCAGCCTTGGGAGAGGTGGACTGAGCAGGCGGGGAGCCTTCTCAGGGATGCATCTGTTCCTGGCACCCAGGACCAGCTACTGCATGGACAGCAGGCCCTGGGGATGTTCCCCTGGGAATACAGAGGTTTTTTATTTCATCTCATGCTGAGGATTGAACCCAGGGCCTAGGCAAATGCTAGGCAAATGCTCTGCACTGAGCCACACCCAAGCCCTCGGGATTCTTTAACTAACCATGAACTTAGCTTAGACTTTTTCTCACCTGTGCCAAGACTGCCTCATAGCTTAGCTTGTGTGCCTGCCTGTAGCYCGTCTCCAGCCTTTACCAATGCTGGCCCATGTGCCCCCAGACTAAGACCTCTCAGTGGCTSCTCCTCACCCACAGCTCAAGTCAGGGCAAGTCCAAACTCCTCCACCTGATGAGTACAAAGAGCTTCAAATCATCTGACCTCTGCCCAGGTCCACAGCATCATCTCCCTAGGACCCTCAGCTCATGTCCCTCTAGCCTAAGGGGTGCTGGGCTTCCTGCTTCACCAATGGAACACTTCTTCTCCACAGCAAAGATCCCCAGCATGAAAACCAGATGCGAGGCGGGAGTGGTATTGCAGACCTGCAATCCCAGTGACTCGGGAGGCTGAGGCAGGAGGATCCCGAATTCAAGGCCAGCCTGGCAACTTAGTGAGGCATTAAGAAACTTAGTGAGACCCTGTCTCAAAATAAAAGCAAAAAGGGTTGGGGATGTGGCTCCATGGTTACGTGCCCCTGGGTTTAATCCTCAGTGCCAAAAAAGAAAAAAAGAAAAAAAAAAGCAGATATGAGCACAGCTGCCCAGGTGAAACCCTGAGGGCCCCCAGAACCCCATTTTAAAATCATTTTCCTGCTACTCCCCGCTGCTCTTCCTTCTGGCCTCCCCCAGTTCTCCTAGGGTCTCTCTGCCCTGGGGCTGCCTCCTGTAGCAGTAGTCAGGAGGCTGGATTGCTGGTCGCCTCCCCATCACCGTGAGCCCCTCAGGAGTCCTCTCTGTGATCTGGGGCCAGCTCTGCCGGTTCTCAGTGACGCTTGCTGGATGACCCCATGAATGCACAGGGAAGGGGCCCTGAGCTTGGTCAGTGTGGGAGGGGACGCGAGCTGGGGTGGCGGCAGGGCAGTGAGATGGGGCAGAAAGGTACCAWCTGGGCTTCAGGGGCTCAGGGAGGAATGGGGCCAGGATTGGCCGAGGGGCCCTGAGATCAGATTGGGTGGCTCAGGAAGGGGTACTGGGTGAGAGAGATGGGAGTGAGAGAGGGCTCAGGAAGGGACTCAGAGGGGGTGAGGGTCGGTGGCGAGGGTCCTGAGGAGCAAGGACCAGGGGGCTTCATAAGCCACCGCCAAAGAGAAGTTCTGGCTCAACTTCCCTGCACCTCGGAGCAGGGGACCCTCCCTCGGGCTCCGGTCAGRCATTTCTGGGTCCAGAGATGGCTGTTACAGTTTGGATGTGAGATGGCCCCTAAAAGCGCCTGTGTTCCCGCAGGAATCTCCAGGTGACTGGAGGAGGTGGGCGTGGCTGGAGGAGGGTCCCGGGGGCGTGGCCTGGGCGGGCGCTTCTTCCCTCCCACCCCTTCCCCTCTCTGGGCTCCTGGCTGTCACCTGAGCTGCTCTCMTCCACCTCAGGCCCTACCTCCCCACAGGCCCAGAGCGCAGGACTCAGCCCACCATGGACTGAGCCTCTAAAACMTGAGCCGAATGAAACTTTCCCTCCTCCAAGTTGTTCTTGTCGGGCATTTTGTCACAGTGACACAAAGCTGACTAGCTGGTGTAAGGCTCAGGATCAGAGCTCTATTGGGTGGCTGCGGGCAGCCTGCTGTCATGTGGTCAAGGGACATCAGACCCACCCAATGGCCCTAAGACCCATATACACACAGCAAGCCCACTTCTGTGCTCCCCAAACAACCTAGTGCCCTTCTGTATGGTGGAGAGTAGCTCACACAGGTGCCTGGTCTCCCACCTCCCACCACTCCCTGGAAAGCCCAGGGCAAAATGGTCCACACGTGGTTTATTTAACCACCGCTGCATCCCCAACTCTGCACAGAGCTTGCTGTTTTACAAAGAGCTTAAAATGCATATCTAGGGCTTGATGTAGCTACCGGTAGAGCACTTGCCTGGCATGGGGGAGCACTAAAACAAAAATAAAAAACAAAATAGCTGCTATCTCACGTGAGCCTTACTATATTCCCGCAGGATTACATTTCAGCTTTACAACGGTGATCGTTATGACCCTTAAGTGACAAGCACTGCCTCACAACGCACACCCTGTATCTCCTCCAAGCCTCCCTTCATTCCGGACCCTCACTGCACCCAGKCTTTCCCCACACCTCCCCCACCCTTGATTCCCACTGCCAAGGTTGTCTGTCACATCATTTGGTAACAAAAACCGGTTTACATGCTGCTGAGGTTGCCGAATGCCACTGTATCAAAAGTGGGCACATCGGAACTGCTGCAGTAGATTAGCCAAAGCAAGAGGCCCTTACTGATGCTCAGACCAGTACAGATTTTTTGTTTGTTTGTTTGTTTGTTTGTTTGTTTTTGTATTTTTGGTCCAACAGACTTGAACCCAGATCTTTTGGCCCCTGGTTTAGGTGGGTGTGTGTGGCCCTGCATGTGAACGTAAGCAGAATCGTTTGTGCATATTCCATGAGTATTGCTGGTCTCTCTCTCTCTCTCTCATTTCGGAAATAGAGGAGACTGATTATAAACCACTAAACCACATCTGGCCCGTGGAGTCCAAAATACTGGCCACAACAGAGGAGAGGGGAGGGAAATCAAGGCCCGCTGCTGATTGAACCTAACCGGCTCTAATTGTTTGTTAAGCCAGGGATTTTCAGCTTCACCAATTCTCTGAGCTTCCCTCCCTGGGCTGAGTCCTGGCCTCGGCCGCTCCCATCCTCCCATCAGGACCCAACAAGACTCTACTGCCTTTCAGCCTCCCCTGGCGGGCGGCATCCATCTGAAGGAAAAAGTGAAGCAAGAGGGAGTTGGGAGAGACTTCAGGAAGACTGGGCGTGACATCTCCTCGGTGTGTGTGGAAATAGATGAGGCCTTGGGAGTCCAGAAGCCACCAGCCCACTCCCTGGCCTAGGTCACTGTCACATAATGCCACTCCCACGACATAACAGCCCCATCACAGGAGATGATAAGCAGAGGGGAGGGAGTGCCTGGTGGAGGGGAGGGGTCCCACACCTTAATCTTGACCTTTACTGAGCTCTGTCACCCTGAGAAGGGTTCCCACCATGACTGTGTGGGCTCAGGCCCATCCCTTCACCTTTCTTAGCATCATGCAGAGAGAGATTTGCTTTTCCTTTTTAAGCTGAGAACCTTTTGTTCCAATGACATCTCTTTCCTTCTTTCTTTTTTATTTTTTATTTTTGTGGTGCCGGGGCTTGAGCTCAGGGCCTTGTGCACGCGAGGCAAGCTCTCTACCAACGGAGCTAGGTCCCCAGCCCCACAGTGACATCTGACATGGAGGCTCCCCATGAGAGCAGGGGCAGTGGAGCTGTCCCCGTGCCAGGCTGCCAGGGCAGCGCCCGGCCTGCTGGCCTCCCGTCTCCCCCACAGCTCCCAGTCCCACTGGGCCTGCTTTAAAAGCCACAGGACCGCAGGGTCTCCTGACCTTCCCTCCCGCCCTGTTCGTGGGGCGGGGGAAGCCCTTTGTGGCCCACTACCCAGAGGTGCAGAGTCCCCCAGGGACCACGCCTCAGCCATGACAGAAAGCGAGGAGCCGCCGCCTGGGATCCGGTGAGGGGGGAACCCAGCATGCTGCCCGCCACCCCTGAATCCATGGACACCACAGAGCTGGTGTCATGTCAGAGGGCTAATTCACCAACGGATCCTCCCAAGAGAYGGGTTAATCCAGAAAGCAGCGTCTACACCGGGGAACACAGTCAACGAGGGGGCAGGAGGGAGCAGGTGATCTCCACAAATCCACCCAACAACTGCGAGGCCACGGACCTGGAACCCACCGACCCAGGGGAGATCTGAAGGGTCACCACTACCCAAGAGCCCGGGACCCCCCTCCCACCGCCGAGGCCAGCGGAGGCCCGGCCCCAGGCCCAGCCCCCTGCCCGGTACTCACTCCGCCTCTGCCTCTTGCCCTTGATCCCCCGGCTGCCGACGGCCAGGTGCAGCCAGCTCAGAACCAGGGCCACCACACACAGCCCAAGCCGCATGCTCACTGGCCGGCTCCAGGCCCCCGCAGGAGGGGTGGTCGCTGGGGGGTGGACAGCGCAGGGCTCTTGCTAACGCCTCTGGGGCTGGGTCAGCAGCAGGAGGCCCAGGTCCGGGCCAGAACCCAAATCCACCATAATCTCAGCGGGGGACCGAGAGGGCGTGGGAAGCCTCCATCAGCCCAAATGGAGGTCCTCAAAGCCACCTCAGAGTGTCACATGGGAGTCCTCTCTGTCACTTCAGCAGGAGTTACCCCAAAAAACAACCTGTGGGGAAGGAGAGAGAAGGGTTAAGTCTGTGGTACCCGGGAGCCCCAGGCTCCCCATGTGTTTCCCTACCCAGAAGAGGGTGAGAACTCAGAACCTCTGGACGCCACCAGTTACCCACCTGGCACCAGGGAGAAGAAATCTGCTCCTCTTCCTGTTCCTGCCGAATTCCCTAACCTGACACCAGAGCCGGCTACCTGAGTAGCTGGAATATGGTGAACACTCAAACCAGATTTGTGGTTTAATGATGATTTTTCAATAATGGGAACCAGCTGGCCCCACCCTGACTACTATTGGCCAGCTCTCACTGGAAGTCCTTCTTTAAGTCTACCCTACAGACCTCATGCTGCAGTAGCAGCTTGTTACTTGTCCTTCCATGAGTGGCCCCTCAGCCTTCTCTTCCCAGTGCTGAGTCACCCATGTGCCTTTCACCTGTCCTGGAGCTAGAGTAGTGGCCCCCGGCAAGCTGGCAGACTCTGGATGGCCCTCCCGGCTTGGCGGGAGAAAAGGAAGTAAGGCTTCCCCGGGCCACAGAAACTCTGACACAGCAGGCCCGGCGGGTCTGGCCTTTGTGAGGGGATAAAAGAGGCAGCAATGCCCGCCCTGGTCAGGGACACAGAGAATGGCGATAATCCCCCAGCCCCGCGAGAGCCAGGGCTCTGGACCCGCAGGCTGGGGTGATGGGGGCAGGGGAGCTGGGCCCTCCCTCGTGAGATGTATCTGGGAGGTGGGTCGTCTGAGCCTCTAGCCAGACCTGGGAGTGAGGGCCAAAGCCCTGCTCCCCACCCACAGAGGCCCGCCCACACGGCCTCTGCACCCTTCTGCACACCTGCCCACGCTCACACGGGGAACACCCGGCCCACAGCAGCGGAAGCCTTGTGGATGCCAGGGAAGCATCGCCTTCCTGTCCACTGCTTAGTCACCTTTGGAAAGTCACTTAGCTTCTCTGAACCTCGGTCTTTTCATCTATAAGATGGGGACTCAGGACTTTCACAAGCTGGCTGAGGGTGGCTGAGTTTGGCTTCCTGATGAGGAACCTGAGGTACTGGCATGCAGGTGTCCTCCTCCCCTGTCCTAATCCTTTCGCCTCTCGTCTCCTCGGTGCCCAGTTTACCCCCTCGCCTCTTGGAGAGGCCCCAGGAGAGCCCACCTGCACAGGAGATAAATCATTATCCCCCCAGGGAGTTCAGTACCTCCCTCCTCGGCCTCTCCCACTAGCTTTGAAGGCCAGACACACTCAAGTGGTTAAGCTGCCTGGAAGAAGTGTTTACACGAGGGCTGATGGATCCCACCTGCCGCTGTGGCCGGAGCCAGCGGAGATGCCCCCAGCCACCCCCAAATGCCAGCCCCTGCATGACCTTCAAAGGCTTCCCACCTTCCCCGGCCCCAGCTACACACGTCCTTCACCCAGAGTGTGGATGCCCAGTCCAGCTTACCAAACTAGGGTCTTCGGTCCCCAGTACGCAGCCTCAGAGGCTGGGCACACAGTTTGATGGTCAAGGGCACAGAGCGCTTTGAATGCTGGCTCTGCGGCTGGCTAGCTTGTTACCCTGTGTTCCTGGCTTAGCTGGTCTAAGCCTGTTTCCTGATCTGCAAGACAGTTGCCTCTGGACACCTTAAATGAGTTACTAGATGTCACTGCTTTGAGTGGGGCAGGCACACAGGGAGGTCTCGATATCAATATCAATCTCAATATCAACAAAAGCAATATCGACATTTTCTGTGTCATCTCGATACCTACCTTGATCATGAGCATTGGCATGCAATTTACTCATTTGCATTGATCTCTCTGGTTGATGGCCTGGGCACCAAAGTAGCTGCTCAGAGGGACAGGATTTACCTCTGATTCCCCAGAGGGACAGGATTTACCTCTAACAGCACTGGTCAGACTGGGCTGTGAGGACCCCTGGCAGATCCATCCTGCCAGTCCTTACATTTGACAAACACTGCATCAGACAAACTTAGTGTCACACCCTGGGTCTGTGAGACTTTGGCCTAACTGTGTGATCCATGTCCCTAGGGTCCTTGGGGTAGAAAAGGTCCCCTATGCCTCTCGGTGCTCTGTGCCTGCCCACACGGTGCCTGGGTCAGTGTTCAGAAGGCTGCCCACTCCCTGAGCCCCGGTCCTCCAGGTTCGACCTGGCCACACTCACCTAACCTCTGCCTGCAGTGATCTTCTGGCCCACTCCCACGGGAATCACCAGGGACCACCGTCTCAGCTGGGAGATGAAGAGGGGGATCCAGATGCAAATTCCATCCCTCACCTCTGGGATCAGAAGCATTCCAAGCCCTTTTTTTTTTTTTTTAGGAGAAAAATATAATATTTTCAACCCCACAAAGAAGCTAAGGACACATCTATACCAGGGGATGGGAGTGACGCATGTGAGCAGAGCAGGATGTGGCATGGGCAAACCCAGCTCAAGTGGGCACAGGCCATTCGGCTCCAGCTGGGGGCTGACGGGCAGAAAGGATGGCTCAACATCACCAGATCCTCAGGCATTTTGAAAGAGCAGTAGAACATTCAGGATCCTGGGTGAAATCTGATTTTCAATGTTGCACAGTCTTAGACTACAGATCCTCAGGTGCCAAGCTCCAGGGGGCCACAGGTCCCTGCCTGGAGGTTCCACATCCCTCTGACTAGATCCTGGCCCCTAGGAAAGGAGGTCACCATGGGCTGGGGCGGGAGTGGAGCCAGAAGCAGACAACTTTCCTTTAAGTCGCCTATCACGGTTCTGCTGTCCCATGTCCTGGGGGCCTTGGGCTATGGCACAGGCAGTCTCGGGGGCTCCTTTCTCTGCCCAGAAAGAAAGGGAACTGCTGATGTTCAGGGTGCCCGGCATTGGTGGGGGCTCGGGGTGGGGAAGGGCATTCCTCTCTGCCAGGGTGGGGGTGAGGGTGCCTCCTGCCACCTGACATGCTCTAGGCYCTCATTTATTCCACCCTAAGGAAGAGGGAGGTAGTATTATATCCCATTTTGCAGAGGTTGGGGTCTCCGTGGCTACCCAGAACGGGGTGCCTGCTGGGTGCTGCAAAGGTCGCTGAGGAATGTGCCCCCTTCCCTGCTTGGGGACTGGACCTGCAGCAGGTGAAAGGGCTGGGGGCCCGAGGCCGAGCTGGCGGGAGACCGAGGGATGGATCCGGAAGGGGAGGCCGCGCGCGCGCGTTGGGGAGGGGGACACCGTTGGGGGCGGAGCTGGGCGGAGACTGGGTCCTGACAGAGGGTTGCAATCACTTCACCTTCCTGCCTGCAACACTGTCAGGATAAATTGGTACTCCGACCGGGGCCGATCCGGACCCAAAAATGTAAACCATCCAGATAATTCCTCATTAGCCCTCCCAGGAGCGGCTGCGGGCTGGACAGCTCGGGCTGCGGAGCGGGCAGGCAGCGGGGGCCGAGTTGCTGGGCTGGGGGGCGGGACGAGGACGCGCTGCCCAACCTGCCGGGATTAGCTTGTCCGCCAGAGCCGAACCAGGTGCTGGGGCCGTTTTCCCGCCCCCAAAATCAAGGGCACCGGAGAGAGGCTCCTGCAGGCCCCCCCCCATCACCGCCCCGAGTGCCCACATTCATCCTCCCTCTCCACCATCCCCGAGAGGCCCCCAACAGGTGCCCTAGGAGAGACGGACCGAAGCCCCGGTGGTTGCCCCCAAGATCCAAGTTCAAGAGCCAATTTCACAAGGAACCCTGACCTCTAATACCGGCACCCAGAAGTCATCCCTGCTCGCCTCGGGGCCCCAGAAGAACAGGGCCCCCAGCTCTGCCCCACCAAGCGGTACCGTCTGACCCTCAGCGCGGAGTCGCGCCACCTCCCTGCGCACCCAGGGCCGCAGCGCACGTTGCCTGCCACGTTGGACCCCGGCCCGGGCTGTGGGAATGGGATAGGGGTCACCAGGAGCCTTGAGACAGGGGGACCCCGAGGCAGTGAGACCAAGGATCAAGAGCTTGTGGGTCGGGGAGGGTGTGTGACAGGGCTGGTGGACCTACAAGTTCAGGACTGTAAGCGAGGGGGGTTGCGGAGGACCCGAGGAAGCGACCGGGACGGGGCTGCCCGCTTGCCCTGAGGGGTGACGGGGCGACAGGGTTCGTAGGAGCGAGTCCAGGAGGTGCCTTCTTCCGAGGGATGACCGAGAGAGCAATGAGGCTCCCCGTTCTCCGTGTCCCCCGCCCGATGGGTAAGCCCCGAATGGGGGCYCGCGACACCCCAGGTCCCGGGGAAGGGGCGCTAGGAGAGAGGACGGAGCCGCAAAGCGGGGACTCACCTCGGCGCTGCCAGCCGCGGCGGGGGCAGGCCCGGGAGGGGCGAGGGCGCGGCCGGCTCAGCCGCCCGCCGCAGGACTGTCCGGGGCGCYCGGCTCGCCTGCGCTCCGCCCGCCCGTTCCCAAGTTGCTCAATCTGCGGGCGGCTCACGCCCTCCGGGGCCAGCGCCCCACCCGGCGCATCACTCCTGGGGCGGCTCTGTGGCCCCCGCTCTCCGCGGCTCACGGCTCGAAAGCCCGACTGCGGCTCGCCGCGCCGGGCTCTCCGCCCCGCGCTCGTGTCTCCGTCGCGCCTCCGCTCGGCCGGAGCTCCCAGCCGGGAGAGRGGCCAGTCCTCCGCTCGCACGAGGGAGGGAATCCCCCCCTTCGCAGTCCCACCCCCGAGCCGGCCCCCCTTCCTGGGATCCGCAAGAAAAAATGGACTGGAGCGCCGGGCCGGGAGCCGCAGCCCCCTCCCGCACGCCCGTGCACCACGCTGGCGCGCTGCGCCCTGAGCGCAAGGCTGGCACGGGAACAAATTCTCTGAACCCCGGCGCAGACCCTCTGCCCGGGTCTCCTCCCTCCCGGGCCGCACCAGTGTCCACACCAGGGGGATCCCAACAGCCTGGGCACCCGCAGCGGTTCAGAGCATCTGGGGGTCTGAAGAGCGCCCGGGTCCCTAGCCAAACCCCAGTTTCCCCATCAAGAACCAGGAAAGTGACAAGGAATAGACTCAACAGAGCTTTGTGTTCCTAGCCACACCCTCC